ACAGCACCATCTAACCACACCGTCAAATTGACCTTCACCACATTTAACCTCGTCGATTATTCGACGATCTACAGGAGCGAGATTAAAGTCTTTGATGGAAAAAGTAAAAATGATACGTTGCTGGGTATTTTTAGTGGATCAAGACGCCCATTCATCGTACAAACAAGTGGTCAATTCATGATGTTAACCTTTAAAAGGTATCATGAATTAGCATTTTTTAACTTCAAGGGAGTCTACTTTTCAACCTCAATAAAAGGTGAGCTATATGTACCAAAAAAGAGAATTGAAAAATTTTCGCGGAGTGTTAATTCGGAAAAACCTATTTGGTTAGAATAGTTGAACTATATCATATTAATTTATAATCATCACAAAACTCCCAATAATAAAGTCTAATTCCTTCTATATAGGTAAAAAAATGAAGAATGTCTTTGAAACGTGACCTTGTTATAGGGCCTCGTGATAGAGCAAATGACTCCTTACATTACTTACAGAAATACCCTATCTATATTTGGTGTCTTGAATCTTTCATCACTGTTCTGTGATACCCGTTGACTGCCATAAAATATCCAGAATTAGAGCGTCGATAACGGACATCCAGAACTTTGCTCGCCAAAAGCAGAGTAGGAACCCTAGAATATTGTCATTTCACGTGGAAAGTATTGACAACTGAATCAAGTGATAAACGATCTGGCTCGCTCAGGGGAAAACGTCGAGGCAAGATAAACTTCACCACAATTATTCTCAGGAAAAATTACTCGTACTTTCATTTAAAGATGTCTAGTTCTCTATGGGTTGAAGTTCTCATTTTCTACCTCTTTCCTTTACGTCGTCAAAACTTTCTTATCTTGTTGGTGTTACTACTTTTCACTCTTAAAACTTGTTACTGAAAAGCGGATTTATTTATTTGCTCGTACATAACATGTTAGCCTTAATGATAATGCGTACGATACATTTACGCGCTTATTAACATATGATTAACTCGATGGTAACCTAAAATTCCTTTAAAAGGGATTTCTTTAGTTCTGGAGCAAGGTTACGTCCAACAAAAACTACCAAAGTAAAGTTCAGCAAAAGGAAGACACTTTTTCTACGGTTACTGTATAAATTGCTTAGATCTTTGGGATTAAAACGTACAGTTACCAACCGACAGCTCCCATATTCAAACATGTAAAACCAAGATGAATAGATGGGGCAAAGCTTCCCACTCGTAATCAGTGGATCCCTAAAAATGAAAAGCTTACGTCAACATAAAATGGACCGTAAAGCTTAGGTCTCCTAAAGTGGCCATTTAAAACATTAATGTTTTCCGAGTATCGTCAGGCTGGAGACGAGATTTCTCACTCTCAAAAAGCACTCTTTTTAAAATTTCTCCTTCCACATAAAGAGTTTATTGGTAAATAGGTTGTTTATCATTTTTCATTCGTAATAGTTAACACTTGGGACGTTCCAGAACCTCAAAAGCCTCTAGATCAGAGATTTATTGATCTTGCACTAACTTGTCATATATCCTTAAAATCGGGGGAATAAGTCCTGTAACATGAGCATTAAAAAGATTTGTTAACGCGGTTTGTTTTCCCAGAAAATCTGAGTTACAACTCAGAATCAAGTGATTAAAATTAATGCAAAGACCTGTTTTTTAACTACGCAAAAATTGAAGCGAGACTTTTAATCCCGCCATTTTTCTAGATAATCGAAATATCGAATGTCAACATCCAGGAATGATCAAATTTTTGTTTCGGTTATCAAGACCTAGACTACGATAATCGAGGGTCAACGGTCATCGATGATGATGGCCCTGTCTTTTGAAGCTGCCTAGTTTTGTGTTATTTGCTGCCTTTTTGTGTTTAAATAATTAAGTTTTTTCGTGCGTAAGTGTTCCTGTTGGTATCTTCCTTTTAAAACATGAGTGCGTCAAAGAAAGGAGGAAGGAAGTATAATGTGTATGGCGATAGTTCTGAATCGTAAATGAAGGACTGCCTGGAAACGATTCGGCAGGATGTCGAAACTATAAAGAACAATCAAGCAAAATTCAAAGTAGACTTGAAATCTTTCAAACACAAACTCGATAGCACTACAGAGTCGCTTAACCTAAAGTTTGATGCTCTAAACGGCGAAGTCCAAGTGGTGATGACCAGAGTTGAAAAGTTGGAGGATGAGGTCATCAAGCTCGTTACTTATGTCAACCAAGCGTACGAAAGACTTCTGTTAATAGAACATCGATGGAAGTAGGCATGTTTTAGCTATGTTTTTGAACTAGGAATTATTTTGAATGAATAATAAAACAATTATTGAATCCGGCTTTCGTATCATATGAAGAATTCTGGAGATCTCGGAGGGTGTTATCCCTCTTTGATCTCCATAATTAGTAGTAGACTAGGGTCAAAGATAAGCCCCGTTGGTGGATTCCCTTTGGATTCCCTCGCAAAAAGTGGATTCCCTTAATTAATAGGCATATGGGTCTAGTCTATGACGTCGCCCATTGTTATAACCTAGAGAAAAAAATGGATTTCCTGTATACTAATTAAGTGCCTAGTCAGTGTCTTCCTGCATACTAATTCGGTATAGGTTTACTAATAAGCGTCACCCTACTACATTAGGCACAATAGGCTTGCCTCGGCTTGCCCGTGAAGTAACTTGAGCTCGGTTTTCGGACCGTCTATTAAGAGAGAAATAGGAATAAGAGAAGCGATCACCTAGCAACGCGAGAAACGGCTTCCTATATCTTATTTAGCGCTAAAACTCAGATATACATAAACAAAACACATACACAAAGTGGAGTTGAAAAGTCTTTATTTCAATTTAGTTTACGTCTTCTTATTTAGCGCTAAAACTCGGATATATAAACAAGACACACACAAATTGGAGCTGAAAACTCTTTATTTCAAGTTTGTCTGACGTTTTCTCCTATCTATCTCGAGGAAATGAAAAACTATTACAGTCTCAGCGTTTCACGCACGGTTAATCAGTTAATTATGCGAGTTCACAAGCCCAAAGTTGAATACAAATTAGCTCTACAGGAAAAACCTCAAGGGAGCATATTGACGTATTATTATAAAACAAATAACTTAACAAGGATCAATTAAAACACGCGACTCATAATTGCTAGCAATAAAACCAGACAAGAGAGATACCGTTTTAAAAAAACTTTATTAAAAACAAAAAGAGTCAAATACACAGGAATGAAAATTAATTAATCTTCATCTTCGTTCTCCTCTGTAGAAGGGGAATAGAAATTGGTTTCCAACGCCTTCGCGTTTTTTTGTGTAACTGCTCCGCAATCGTGACACCGAAGAAATCCCTCTTTCATATAATGTCTCCCCTCGGGAATCTGGTGACCGCATATTGGACAAATCTTGTAGTAATCGTGCTAAAGGCATTTAGGACATTTCATGATCAATGTCCCGTACACATTAGAGTTTTCGCAGTGTTCACAGGGACTTTTCGAGTGAAAGGTGGTGGACGTTTCAGGGTTACTACTTTCTATCTCCTGACTGTCGTTTTCAGTGTCGTTGTCGCTCTCTTGGGTGCCTTCCGCTTCAACGCCATTCTCAGAAGCCACTTCCTCCTCCTCATTATTACTCTCGTTATCGGAAGTATTTTCTACATTTTGGTAGCCTTTTTCCTTTTCTATTAAATCACTTAACAACTTTTTGTTCCTGATTAAACCTTTATCGATTCCTAACTCTGCAAGTCCATCTAGAAACGTATTCAGCGCATGAGGCTTCGTAACCTCATTGTTATGAACGAGTAACACATACTCAACTAGCTCAGCGATGTTTGTGACGGGAATAGTGCGAGGTAATTGTCCGCTGGGGGTCTAGAAAAGAATATCAACAGCCAATCAGAAGCACGCTTTTCCGGCACTGCTTGGGAAAGATGACTCAAAACATCTTTTATTTTTGGTTCTTCATCCTCGCTTTCATCACCAGAACTTTCGCTTTCTTCATGTTCACTCTCGCGATCTTCTTCTTCAACCAAATCTATCTTTCTCCTCATTTTGATGAGTACCAGTGACAGACTTAGCTTCGAATGATCAACCTAGCGATGTGTCACCTCTTTTATAGCATTAGAAATCCTAAGCTTGAAACGACAGGGGCTAATACATCTTCGATAAAACCACTACCCTCTTGAACAAGGACTCGCTTCTTTGTTTTGAAAGGGACATTTGGACTGGCCAGGTTAAGTAAAGCATCCTTATATGGCAGCAAAACCGACTTATTTTCTTCGGAGATAGGAGTGTGTCCCATGAGTAAATTGTATAAGACTTGGACTAGTGCATGAAGTTGCTGTGGTGTAGGTGTCTTTAAAAGAAACTGGCGCTGATAAGCAGGGCAAGCAGCTAACAACTGAAGAAAACCACGATTGTTGTTCACTACACGAGACATTGCTACAAAATGAACTAAGAATGGCAGTTGGTAGTCTTTCATAGAATCTGGTGGAGGGAAAACAATAGAAATGAGGAGGAGGAGGAGAAGGAATAATAGAAATGAGGAGGAGGAGAAGGAGGAAAAGCAATAGAAATGAGGAGGAGGAGGAGTAGGGGGGAGGAGGAGGAAAGAAAACAATAGAAATGTGGTGGTGGTGGTGGTAGTGGTGGTTTTGGGGGAGAAAAACAATATAATTTTGTGGCCTGAAAACCTATATAAATGCGCAACATTCTACCTCTTTCTCAGTCTACATTTTGCTACTGAGGAGTTGACATGAGTTGGCTCTGTTCTGTCTGCGAAAAATCCTTTAGTAGAAAAGATAATATGTAAAGGCACGTGATGTCTAAACACCGCAATGCTGGTCTCACCCCATTTCAAACAGTTCCAATGTTTTCACAGAAATGTCAGCGGTTTCGCTTCGAGCACCCTTTCACCTCCATGATTGCCGGAATGACCGGGTCCGGAAAAACGGCCTGGGTTCGATCGCTATTGCAACAAGCTTCAGAAACCATTTACCCTCCCCCGGAGAGGATCGTTTAGTGTTATTCACAATGGCAGCCTGCGTATACACAAATGTTAGTCGCCATGCCAAACATTGAATTCGTCAAGGGAATTCCTACGGCTTTGGAGCAGGATTCCTATTTTGATGTGAACAAACGGAGTTTGATCATGTTTGATGATCAGATGATTGACGCCAGTAAAGACAAGCGAATTGTGAACCTTTTCACACGTGGTTCTCATCATCGCAATCTGAGCGTGATTTATATCGTGCAGAATCTATTTCATCAGGAGAAAGGTAGCCGCAGCATAAGCTTAAACAGCCATTATCTGGTGTTATTCAAGAATTCACGAGACAAATTGCAAATCCTGACTCTGGCGAAGCAAATGTATCCCGGGCAGACTGATTTCTTTTTAAATCAGTACGAAGAGGCTGTAAAAAGACCTTTTGGTTATCTTTTGATTGATCTGAAAACTACTACCCAAGATAATTGTCGGTTGCGAACAAACGTCCTGCCCAATGAAGAAGGCTTTAACCAAGCAGAGTTTCAAGAAAATATTTCTCAAGAGCTTCTAAAATATCTGAAGCAACAAACTCTTTCGCCTGTCCCGTTTCTTCCAGCTATGCAAGAAATACAAGGCAACATGGATGACGCGCTTTCTCGAAACGATCTTCGGGACGATGAAAAAGCTAAAGGATACCTTCAGTTGCAAAACAGATACCTGGCTTTTAAAGAACAATTAAATACAAGAACACGACCGGAAGAAATAATCAGCACTGTTCCAGACTTAACATCAAGGACACAAGATTCTTCGACAGCAACGACAGCATTCTCGACTCCCCTCAACCCCTTTAATGTAACACCTGAATTAACAGAAGCGGCTATCTCTCAAAAACCTGACAAAGAAAGCCTCACCCCTCCAGCACCCTTAAATCCTGCTTTCCTGACCCCTCCTCGCACAGTAGTAACCCCATCACAACATGGCCCGAAGCGCAAAAGACGTCGGATTCAATTTCTAAATTATTTGGATGATCATAAATCTCATGGCAACCAGCAGAAGAAACGTCGGCATAAGAAATTCAAACCTTACAAGTACTCCATGGGCGAAGATGAAAATTAATTAATTTCCATTCCTGTGTATTTGACTCTTTTTGTCATTGTTCTTTAATAAAGTTTTTTAAAACGGTATCTCTCTTGTGTTTTTATTGCTAGCAATTATGAGTCGCGTGTTTTAATTGATCCTTGTTAAGTTATTTGTTTTATAATAATACGTCAAGGTGCTCCCTTGAGGTTTTTTCCTGTAGAACTAATTTGTATTCAACTTTGGGCTTGTGAACTCGCATAATTAACTGATTAACCGTGCGTGAAATGACAAGACTTTCATTTCTTCGAGATAGAACGGAGAAAACGGTTCTGTAATAGTCAGACAAACTCAAAATAGAGCCTTTTAAACTCCAATTTGTGTATATGTGCGTGTGTTTTGTTTATATATCCGAGTTTAAGCGCTAATAAGATATAGGAAGCCGTTTCTCGCGTTGCTAGGTGATCGCTTCTCTTATTCCTATTTCTCTTTTAATAGACGGTCCGAAAACCGAGCTCAAGTTACTTCACGGGCAAGCCGAGGCAAGCCTATTGTGCCTATTGTAGTAGAGTGACGCTCATTAGTAAACCTATACCGAATTAGTATGCAGGAAGACACTGACTAGGCACTTAATTAGTATGCAGGGAATCCATTTTTTTCTCTAGGTTATAACAATGGGTGACGTCATAGACTACACCCATATGCCTATTAATTAAGGGAATCCACTTTTTGCGAGGGAATCCAAAGGGAATCCACCTACGGGGCTTATCTTTGACCCTAGTCTACTACTATAATTCTTCATGAGATACTCAGCCTCATTCATTAATTTGTTATAGAATATATGTGAACAGAATGTAGGAGTTGTGAAATCAGGCCCCCTGGACGCGTTGCTAGTCTATCGCAGGGTTACCCCAGCAATTTGTTGCCGGTACCCATTGTTTAAGGGGCACAAATTGGAGTAAATTTCCTTGTCTAAGGGAACAACGCGAGGGGCGAAGCTTCACTCACAGCCACACACGCCTCCTCTGAATTTTCCAAAGCATGTGCTAAATAGCTTTAAGTAGCTCAAGCGGTCTCCGTCATAATTCTTTCTCGAAGGCAAAACGTAAGGGGTTTGCCCATGTTCCTTGTCAATCATTTTATAACACAACGGATGTCTCCAATAAAACCATCTCGGTTATTTTATAGCCTGAAGCATAATTTTCCTCGCCATTTAAGATAGGTATTGCATATTTCTATTTATAGACAAGCCGAAGATAAGGATACCGTTGTCCGTAGTACGCAGTGTACCAGAACATTATACCTGGTTCATGCTGGAAGGCACCCCACCCATTCAAGCTTGGTTAGGCAACTCATCTACACCTTTGGAGGATGCACGAGTGGTAAAAGGACTTAAATTCACTCAGACCGGAAATTACACAATTCTGGCCAAAAATGATGCAGGCAGTAGCTCCAAAACGTTTGACGTTAACGTTATGGGTAAGGTTTTTGTCTCAAGTCAACATGTTAATATTTCGAACCATATTTCTGTACCACCCTGTGATACCTGTGTTATTTTATGCTAATATTCAGCGTTTTTCCAGATCGACCGAGTCAACTCTGTTGCTTTAGAACGCACCGATGGTGCATTAATTCAATGTAGTGAAGGCGTTTTCAATATAGTAGTTTTCACTTTTATAGCGTAGCTTAATGAAAACATTTGGCTTAGAAATCTACCCTTGCAGTTGTCTCTTCCACTTTTCACATGTCATCTCTTACCTGAGGCAAGATACATTGATTTCGCAGATTGCAGGCATTTATGTCGGAGCAAGGGTTTTTTGAATGGTTTTGGTCAAGTAACCAACGATCATGACTGCAGTGGAGGCAATGCTACATATATTTGGAAGTGTATACCAACAACAACTACTAATTTGTAAGTGAATTTCCTAGCTTAAGGACTCGTTAACTGCTGATTTTAATACAAAATGCTTAGTGGCATTGAATCATGTATCAAAAGAATAAAGACGTTTGAAAGTAAACGCCCTAAAAATCGTTTAGCCTTGAAAAAAGCCTCCTGAGGTTTCGATTAATAAAAATTTAAAAAAAAATACATCTGGGCTAAAACGGACATTATTATAAACTTTCATCATAAAAGAAGAATAGCTTTTCTCGATGAGGGTTTTTTGTTTTACCTTAAGTAAGTCTACAAGTTTATACGACCTCAATCTGATTTTGAATTACAGAATTTTTGTGGTTATATCATTATTCTTCGCAAAGCCAGCGGCCTATAAATTTGTCCCGCCGTGTATCGCGTGGGTCCCACAGCGACGCAGAATCTCGAGTTGGCAATATACATCTCTTGGGTTTCCCCATTCAGTGTGACGTCAAGGTACCTTTTCAACACGACTTTGAATTCTGTGATGCACTATCATGTTTTATTCATGAAAGGCCGACGTGTTTATTCATCGTCTGCGACCGTTAAGCCCGAGAGTGAATAAACACGGAACTAATGCGAAATGGCTTGGAAACACTCGTTTAAGCTAATTTTCCTCAGTAGCTTCTTGAATTCATGATAAATACAACACCACGAGCTTCAAACAGCGTGTGTAGCAGAGAAAAATGCTTTAAGTATATTAATCGTTCGGTAAGAGTTGTCCAGTGGCAGCAAAACCCAGTGGTCTGGAAGCTGGAGGCAATCATAATGTAGGTTCGAATATCGGCGTGGTAATTTATTTATCGCGTTTTCTTGATACATTTTTTTTTTCGATGTATTTTTTTTTCAACATAGTTTTGCCTTTTTGCTTATTTCCCTTTGTTCTCATTGCGGACCCTTTACAGCTTCGCGAGATTTTTGCAAAGACGTATTTCTAGTTTAACAGCTAATATAAACCCCCATCACATCCGTAGAATGTGAATGATCATGGTTCTTAACTATGGAAACCCTTCGTGTGACAATTATGCAACCAAAGGAGAACCATGATCAACAATAATCATATGACAATGAGATTGACCATCGTAAATCTGGTTGTAGCTAAGGGCAGTAGAAACCAATGCACTACTTCGTTAACACCATAAAGTGTTCTCCAAAAAAACATAACACACATGAAAGAAGGTCGAAGCACAAAACAAACTATATTGCAGTAGGCATTCGTGATGTAAGACCTGCAAAAATGTTTTTTTCAGGCAAAATCGTCGCATATCAAGAATTATTTGACATTGTAATGTTACTGCCAATCTCGACGCAGCCACAAAAACGACAAAAACGAGAAAATAAACACAACAAAAGCTCCGAGCTTGCAGCAAAGTTTTTTGCCTTCATTGAAAGACTAACGTTGTCAAAAAAGATTGAAATGCAATGCGATAGTTGCATCTCTCTCTAAGATCGACGCGACTTAATGTCCATGCAGAGGCTTAGATGTTTTCTTTTTTTTTTAATGCAAAACGGCACAACTTTTAGACCCACCGGCCACTCCCGTAGGCACAACATACCAGCCTTGATCGAACATGATTGACGAAAAGAAAAAAAAAGTTTTTTTGACGAAAGTCAGAAAACAGTTATTGACAGGCCTTGTCTTCTACCAGTTACTGGAACATTTTACTGCCAGTTACTGGAACATTTTATCTAGTGAAGTTAAACATGTTTCAGACATTTTTATCCCTTAAAAGACATAGTAGGAGTTTTTATTGATTTTATGAAGTTTTAAATTTTGATCTTTGTATATTTAGACATTTTTATATCTGTAAGGGCCCCACTGAAATGTGTGAGGTGGGCTCCCTGTTTAATTATATATATATTTTTATTATCATTGACGGAAAACCACGATAACATACACGGCC